CAATAGACAACGCTGCCGCCTATCGGCTCACCTCCGTCTCCACCTAGTCCCACCACCTGTTAAAACCCTCCTGCACCCGCCTCTTTCTACCCCCTCACTCTAAATGCTCGACCAATGCCAACCTCCTTACTATTTAACCCCTCCCTGCAATTTCCCTTAACTGCTGCCTGAAGTCCTCGAACATATCGCAGCAAATCACCGTGGCCAAGACCCTCTGCAAAGCCCCAATTTCTCTATCCCTTGCCACTTTCGACTTACCAAAACATAGCCGCTCATCTCTGTCCTCTTCTCCACTATAAGCCCCCTCTTCTACATCTCTCAGCTCCCTCGCCTTATCCTTGATCAACCTTCTGAAATCACCCCACTAACAGCCACCTGCAGTGCACAGCTTCCCCTTCCCCAAGCCATCTTAGCCACCCCTCTGTCACCGCCTGCAACCACCAATTGTTGTCCCTTTGCAATGCCTTCCAAAGCCATTTCAACTTCGGCCGCCATCCTTGCCAGCTCTCTCCTCATGGTCTTCAGCCGCAACTGAGGGCAAACTTGGATTTCTCTTCTCACTTCTTTTTATTTTTTATTTTTTCTCCTTCAAGCCCAGACAGAGAAGGAAAGTAAATAGGTTAAAAACAAATACAAAACATAATCAGTCCTTTATAGTAATTTTACAAGAAGAAAAGCACTTTTATATTTTACATCCAAACAATGAAAAAAGGTAAAATGTTTCTGTTTTAAAAAAAATCACTTTTATAAAAAACTCTTCTAAAAAAAAGTTTATCCAAACGGGGCCATCAATGATATATCTTTGACCAAAATGATGGCTGTTAACTCTTCTATTGATCTTGTTGAAATGATTTTCTGTAATTGGTTTATTTACCTCATATTTTCCCCTCAAATACGCTTGTCAATATTTAATCTGCAGCATAATGGATAATATATTTTCAATATTTTCTCCAACTTTGCAACGACACTTTTCTTCTCATTCAACATTATCAGGGCCTGTTGTTGTCGCTGATGGAATGGCAGGGCAGCTATGTATAAACTGGTACGGGTTGGACATGACAACCTCATCGGGGAATTATTAGGTTGGAAGGAGATTCTGCTACAATCCAAGGTAATTTCCTTAGATATTTCCTCTTGAGATTTAGACTGTTTTCTACTAGGCTTTCCTTGACCCCATGTAAGCTGCAAACACACTTAATGGTGCCTTTTATTCAAAGTGTCTCCTCCATTACTTTTGCTCTGCCTTCCTACCATTTTTTTTTATTGCTTATTTGTAGGAAATTTAAAACAACTTAGTGTAGGCAATCAGTTTCTATCTACATTTCATTTCAGTTTATGAAGAAACAGCTGGTTTGATGGTGAATGATCCTGTTTTACGAACCCATAAGGTAATCATTCTATATGGCTTTTGCAAAGTTTCCATAAAAAGTATTGTATATTTCTATTATTGCATTAAGGTCACTCACTGAACCTCACCATTGATGATTGTAGCCTCTGTCAGTGGAGCTTGGCCCTGGAATTTTGGGGAATATATTGATGGTATCCAGGTTTGTGAAATATCTACCTCTTCACGTTGATATGTTCCATTTTTTCTTGGGCGCGATTTTTTTCTTATTTGGTCTTCTACTACAACCCTGTTTAAAATGGGCATATGCTCACTGATAATCCATCTTGCTATATAAATTCAATGCAGAGACCCTGAAGACCATTGCCAAACGATCTGGGGATGTGTATATACCTCGTGGTGTCTCTGTTCCAGCACTTGACAAAGACACACTCTGGGAGTTCCAGCCAAAAAAGATAGGTGATCAAAGAACATATGAACCTAGTTATTTTGGAAGCAGTTATGATGGCTTTTGTTTAAATTGGAGAGCTAAAAACCAAAATGTTCCCCACTATAATACCCTGGTTAATGGCAGGTGAGGGAGATCTTCTAACAGGAGGAGACTTATATCTGTAAGTTTTACAGTGCCCAGCTTAGTTTTCTGAGCTTAATTAGAAAATTGCATCAGTCATTTCCATTTTCTAAGCTTTGTCTGAGATTGGTACTGCTAAATAACTATGCAGACTGTCTTTGAGAACAGTTTAATGCAGCACCATGTTGCACTTCCCCCTGATTCTATGGGAAAGATAACCTACATTGCACCAGCTGGTCAATATTCATTGAAGGTTTGTCTAATCTCTTCTGACTGACTTGGTAATCTTTCTGTGCCCAGAGCATCCCCTAGTTCAAGTGGATTTCAAAACTATGTTGTATTTGCAATTACCATGCACTGCAACAATTGTTGTAACATCATGCTGATTAGGGATGGTTCGTTCCAAAGCAGTAGATAAATCCAAATTTGGCTGAATTGGGGCAAATGTGTGGGTAAATAATATTCTGGCTAAATTGGTGCTTCACGGCTATCATTGTTTGAAGTGCTGAATATGAAGATATTTTACAGTAGTGAACTGTGTTTAATCTGGAATTCTATATGTCACTAAATGTTACCTATGTTTCTGAACTCAACAAAGCCTTTTTCCCAACCGCATGAGGTTGGCTTTCTTGTGTTTCTGTTTGCTAAATTGGACATTATTGTGTAACAGACACCATTTTATCTGACATTTAAATTGGATGATACTAGGATTCTTGTTCCTTGTTCTCATGCATTATGTGAAACTCCTGTACTTGAGATTTTTTAATTTAAAGCTATTCATGGCTAGCTTTTACCATAGAATGCAGATTTGACAAACTCTATGTACATGCAGGACACTGTTTTAGAGATTGAGTTCCAAGGTGTCAAAAAGCAATTCACTATGCTTCAGGTTATTGTATATGTGGAATTTTTGTTTGTACTTTTGGAGTTTTTTACATGCTGTATTCTATACTTCTTGATGTGAGAGATTTTTCTTACTCTTAGTAGAATTACATATTTGCAGAACTGGCCTGTGCGAACTCCAAGACCTGTGCAACAAAGCTTGCTGCTGATACTCCTCTTCTTACTGGTCAGGTAACTGTGCACACGCCCCATCCCTTCAAGGAAAATAAAACAAAAAATTAATGTCATTGGTAGCAATCACCTTGCCTGTTTCTATTGGTTTGTCTTTATGATCCATATTCCTTCAAAGTCTGTTGTGCTTGCACCTAATATTTTAATTCAATGCTAGCGTGTACTTGATGCACTCTTCCCTCTCGGTTCTTGGTGGGACATGTGCCATACCTGGTGCTTTTGGCTGTGGGAAAACAGTCATTAGTCAAGCTCTTTCGAAGGTGATTGTGCCACATTATTTACTCTGTGATCATTTGGAGATTAGATGATATAGCTTAAATGTTTATGGAACTCCTGATCATTCATGTTATGTGTTATATTTTAATGTTTGTGCAGTACTCTAATTCCGACACTGTTGTGTATGTTGGTTGTGGAGAAAGAGGAAATGAAATGGCAGAGGTATGTGGCATTATTTCATTATTTAGCCATTTTAACAGATTGATATGTGATACAGAGATATTAGGTAGCAGTACTATTACTTAACTTAGCCATTTTTAACAGCTTGATATGGAGATATTGATCTGGAATACTAATTTAGGTTCTTATGGATTTTCCACAATTGACCATGACACTACCTGATGGTCGTGAGGAATCTGTTATGAAAGCACCACACTTGTGGCGACACTTCAAACATGCCTGTGGCTGCTCGTGAGGCTTCAATCTATACAGGTGAATAAATGTTCTCATAATTGGTTTTGTTTGATGTAAACTTCAAGGTAAAGACAGAGCCATTGATTGGTTTGGTAAACAGTTTTTTTCTTTTTTTATTTTTCCCTTTTTGGCATATTTTTCCTGCATAAAGATAATTTTTTCTCTTCATAATTTATACTTACTCTCTAGATGTGATATCCTATCCCATGTGAAATGTTGAGTGTGACATTATGTGGTAAATAGACTCTAGAGAAACCACAACTAAATAACTTAGATTTAAGCATTTTGAAGCAAAGGTTTAGCAATAAATTTTGTAACCAGTGTGTATTCAATGGAAAACTGCAATAAGTTTATTGAAATTGAAAATAAATATATTATAGTTTTGTGCTAACTCTAAAGAAATCACTGCTAAACGACCTGGGTTTAAGTATTTGGTACTAGTGGGTTAGCCTTAATAAATTGTTGTGCCAATGGTCTTACAGATAGTTACACTAGATTGGCAATGAATTAAACTACATTTGCTGGAAGCATAAATGAAAATCCATGGTATTAATTGGCTCTGTCCAAAACCTTGCTGGAGAAGAGTCTTTTAACCTTTTCCTTTGATCTTTGTCTAACCTGAATGAACCAAGTAGCTCCAGTGTTTCTACTTTACTTCACTCTAGTTGGATACGTGAGAATGCAGTTGCTCCTGAGGGCCTGTTTGACAGGCCTTTTATACCCCATGCTTATGAGTGGAGTTGGGCTTTATGCCGTTATGGGTGGGCCAGGCTTCAGCAAGCCTGGGCCCACCTAACCCTTGTTAGATAGCCACCCAGTTATTAGCTATGCCCTCAAAAGGGGGGCTTTGCCAAATTTAAAAAATAAAAAAATAAAACCATTGTAACGGTTAACACCCCTCAAAATTAAAAAAAAAGATTAATTGGATATTTAAAAATTTATAATCTAATGTCACCATCCAGTGTAGTCAAATAACAAAACCTACTTTATTTAAACTCACACTTTCTTCAAACTATTTTATTTAAATTCACTTTCATCATACCCAGTTCAAATAAACTCAAATTGTATCAAACAAGCCCATTCAATGATGTAACTTACTGCATCATGTGAGCTTTCACAAAACAAATTAAAATTACCCTCTGTGCATTGAGACATAATCCTTGATGGTGTGAATTTTCAGGAATCACTATAGCTGAATATTTTAGAGATATGGGCTACAATGTCAGTATGATGGCAGATTCAACATCGCGATGGGCAGAAGCACTGCGAGAAATATCAGGTCGACTGGTAAGTGACCTGATTTTGGGTTTTTCTGCACCCTTTTGACCTTCTTTTTTTTCCCCTTCTTTTTCTCTTCCACACTATACTGTGATGATTGTCTTCATAATTTCTCATGCTATCAGTAATTATTCTATAGGTAACTGAGAGAATCTTGTTTAAAAGCCATTTCCACTACAAAGAATTGAGTATACAATTCCATCTACAGTTCATAATTGCATGTTTGTCCGTGTGCTTAACTGATGACAATATACCTGACCTGCTTTTATAGAAAAGGATTTCTCTGCTTGTACAATCTGTAATTGTGAGCTAATCTGGTTTGGAAGATATGATAGAGTTTGACACTGATTTTTAAAAGAAGACAGGATTCTTATCCAGAAATATATGGGAATTGACTTTTGTTTTTTATAACACAGCTTTGAACTTATATTAATATAGAAAATGTAGTAGTTTGTTGGTAAAACATATTGTGTTTACAAGGTTTATGTCCATTTGTAATGTAATTTCCTTTTGCAAAGATGATTTCTTGTACTCTAAAAATTGCAGACACTCCTTGGGACCATGTGCTCAACACATCTGAACATCAGACATAGCGACATTCTTCCTTGAAATTTAGGACATTTACAACATGACCTATGTACAAATCCATGTGGTAATCTCCAACATTTTTATTGTGCCTGCATGTTTTGGGGATTGTTGTATAATTGTCTCCCCTGTCAGATAAGATATGAAACTTGCATCCATGTCTGTGCTTTCTTGAAGTGTTTCATCTCCTGGTTGTAGGCATGACTTCAGATGTTGACTAGAACTGGACTTCTGTTTAAAATGTTCACGAACCTGATATCATCTACCTTACTTTGTTTTTCAGGCAGAGATGCCCGCGGACAGTGGATATCCTGCTTATCTGGCAGCACGTCTGGCCTCATTCTATGAACGCGCTGGTAAAGTAAAATGCCTTGGTGGGCCAGAACGTACTGGTAGTGTGACAATTGTTGGTGCTGTTTCGCCTCCAGGAGGAGACTTTTCTGATCCTGTTACATCTGCCACCCTTAGCATTGTCCAGGTGAGATGAAGTTTTCAAATTTCCACCTCTTAGTGGTCACAATGACAAAATTTAGAAAGCAGAATAAAGGACAATGGAATTTAGAAAGCAATATGTTTAGATACGGGTTAGATCTTGTTGATTCAATTACTAATCTTGAAATTTGGATTACAAGGCAAATTAAGATACATATTTATTTCTCTTCTATATTTAAGAAAGCCCTGTGCTCATCTTGCAGGTTTTTTGGGGTCTGGACAAGAAACTGGCCCAGAGAAAGCACTTCCCTTCTGTAAATTGGCTGATTTCATATTCCAAGTATTCTTCGGTGCGTTTTTAACATGTTTTTGGAAGTGTCACAAATTCCACTTTTGTGTTTGTGCATGCACGCTATTATTTAGCATATTCACCTCAGCCATTCAGGAGGACACACAGTGTCATGTATTGAGTGCATTTTTTCTCATCTTTCCAGGCATTGGAATCCTTTTATGAGCAATTTGATCCAGACTTCATTGACATCCGGACAAAAGCTCGTGAAGTGCTGCAGAGAGAAGATGACCTGAACGAAATTGTTCAAGTATGTTTTCTTTATTTATATATACAGTTTCTCTTGGAGAGTTCATGAGGCATGTAAAACCACGACTCTTTCTGTTCATCAGGATGGATGCAGGACAATTATTGTTTAACCCACAAGTCCCATCTACAACAAAAATGCGAGTCTTTTTATTGTTCTTCCTTTTTCCCTTTCCTCTACTTGGGGTTTTTCTTTTTCTTTTTTGGAAGGTGGTATGCGTGTATATCTGCTTGTTGGAATGAGAATATGGTTGAGTAGACTATTGAAGTTTGTAGCAGTTAACCGATGTATTATCTTGCGTTAGTATGACTACTAGAAAGAATTATTGAACTGGTCTTTATAATGGCCTAACATTGAAATCAGTTCAATGGAATTCTAGTATGCTGCATTATCTAGATGACCACCTTGGTCTTGATCAAACCAAAGCCTTAAAAGATGTGTCACTGTAATTTCTTTCATTTGGCTCGTTAATATATTTGAGCAATCATATATATAAATATATAGATCCTACCGTCTGTCAGCCAGAGGAATAACATGGTTCTTGTGCCTGCTACAGTTGGTTGGAAAGATGCTTTGGCTGAAACTGATAAAATTACCCTAGAGACTGCAAAGCTTTTGAGGAAGATTATCTTGCCCAGAACGCATTTACACCGTGAGTGCCTGTATATGTAGTCTGCCCATTCTAAAAACTAATATCTATTGCTGGACTCTCTGCATTGGCCCTTAAACTTTTGTCTTTGTGACTTTGCATGGCAACAGATACGACAAATTCTGCCCTTTCTACAAGTCTGTTTGGATGATGCGCAACATTATCCATTTCTATAATTTGGCCAATCAGGTAAAAAATTATGCTGTTTCTCCTATTCATGCATTCTGCAGATTGTCCACCACTATCATTTGTGATAAGCCTTCTGGTTATGTGAGACAAGTGTGAGAGGTTGATGAACCTGTAATCAACGGTCTGTTCCTGTTCAGGAACGACTTCTGTCTCCTTATTTTTCTCTTACACATCATGAGTAAAAAGTTTGTCTATCCCGCAGAAAATGCCTCAAAATGATCTGTTTATTGGACTAGCTGAGACGTTCGTTGAGCTGTGCATAGAACCATATAAATTTATTGGGATTTGTGATGGATTGCCTATAATAGTAATGTTGTTAATATGCATGCAGGCAGTGGAGCGAGGAGCTGGAATGGATGGGCAGAAGATAACCTACACCCTAATCAAGCACCGGTTAGGAGATCTATTTTATCGTCTAGTGTAAGTAAAATGGCAGCTCAGAATAATTTTCTCGGCTGGATCTCTCTCTTCCTACCACAGCTTCTTTTGTTTGGTGGAAATGTTGTGGGCATTTAAATTTTGCTCTTCTGATTTCTATGATGTTTCAGGTCTCAAAAATTTGAGGATCCAGCTGAAGGGGAGGAGGCCCTTGTGGCAAAGTTCAAGAAGCTTCATGAGGACCTGACTGCAGGTTTTCGCAATCTTGAGGATGAAACCCGTTGATCTACATCTGAAGTCCAAATTATCCTGAGTTTAGAAAAATTAAGATCCTGAGGAAAGGGTTATTATTGTTATTGCCTTGTACGGTGCAACCAAGTGAGATTTCATAGGTCCATTTCACGCTTGCTTCATAATGTTAGGCAGCCCTGTTTTGTATGGTTTGTGTAGTAATATCTATTTTGTAACTTCAGTTGGCCCCTTTTATATTTATGAATAATAAATGAAACTTGAGCTTGTGATTTTTTGTTCACCCTTTGGTCCAATAAAATACATATTAATATCTGAAATTTTGTGCCTCCTGGATATCTTCTATATTGCCTCCTACGGACGTGTTGACCATTCGTTGCATGGCAGAGACCAAGCTATAGGTCCGCCCCCTGCCAAGCCATGGTGTTTGCAGATTGAACGTGGGATGTGCAAGCCTCTCAGCAAGCTCATCGAGATTTCTGTGGGATGTTGTTAGGCTTGCATACGGAATCGAAGTTTTGACCAATGATTTCCGAACTAGCAAATCCATTAAATCCAGGCACGTCTGACATGCCACGCCTTCTTTCCAGCCATACAAACTGCTGTCAAATGAATGCAACAGTTTCTTAAAAAGAGATTGTTATCATGGGCTCAAGCTCACCTCTGGTTGACGGGGTTTCAATGGTCACACCACCCCGACCCACACCCCCACCCCCGAAAAAAGAGGGGAAAAAAAGAGAGAATACCCCAACCCCAATATTTTCACTTGATTACAGGATAGTTTTTCATGAAGCTAAACGACATTATAATACAATCACAATCAACCAAATGAAAAGGTATTGTAGTTCAGTAGAGGGGGTTTCAATGGTCGCACCACCCCTACCACCAAAAAAAAAAAGGAACAAAAAATAAAAGAATGCCCCAACCCCAATATTTTCACTTGATTACAGGACAGTTTTTCATGAAGCTAAACAACATTGTAATACAATCACAATCAACCAAATGAAAAGGTATTGTAGTTCAGCAGAAACTATTTCCCAGAAGAAACAAGTACAGGAACTAAAAAATTATCAGAGTACAAGCAAAGCATGCATCAATCTTTGAAAAACATTGAAAGATAAGAAAGCCATGATGTGGAGTTCATGCTGATAGCAGCTGCAAATCTGCACATAGCATCAAAATGTAAATAACAGTAAAGAAGGAAACATTTGTTGTGCCCTTCAGACTCATTTACTCTACCCAATCTCAATCAGCCAGGGCCAACTTTGGGAATGTCATAGTGCTCGCTCATATTTGCCAAATACTGGTTGAAATCCTGGATCCTATCACGATGTGATTTATTAGCAGTCTTGGCTAGCCTATGAGCATCAATATTCTCCTTTTGCTCCATATAGCGTCTCTCTGCTGGGGTCAAATGATCATCATACGCAGCAGTATTTCCTTCCCTTGTGGATTTGTTGGCATCATTTGTATCATCCTGAATCAGATCTGCTGGGGTTCCTGTATTTTCACCTGCAGCAGTATATCCATACTCAGAAATAGAAGCGCTAATGTAGTCTGCTTCAAATAAAACAGGCACACAGACACAGAGAGAGACAGAGAGACAGATAGCACGCCACTCTTCTTTTCACCAAACACAGCTGAAAGGCTAATTTGCTTTGTCACGCATCAACTGCCTTCCAGCCTCAAGTCCATGTTGTAGCAGCCAAAGAAGGTTCGCTTTGTTAAACTTTTTGGATAAACACCCACAAAAGGAATTTGTAATGACTAGACTTCAAAAAATTCCTCAAGAGACGAGTAAAAAAAAATAAACCACTTTTTGCCATTGCAAATTAAAAACATTTTGATCCATATTATTTTCATCTGAAATTTACCTGAGAGATGGAATTTATCCACCAGATTTAGTACAGGAAAATGGGTTGGCAATACTGTCTCGTTCAGTTCAACTGTAAGAAAAAGGTCCTTTCTTTTTTGGGGGTGGCGCGGGGGGGGGGGGGTTGGGATAAGCATACTATCAAGAGATTATCTTGCCAAACTACAATTACAACGATGATATGGACAAGGAAAATACACAATGGTACCAAACTCTCAGTCTCACAAGAAGCTAGGATGTTTCGATAAGATAAACTTTCTACAATCAATTTTTGAAAACAAAATTGTGAGAGAGAGGGAGAGAGAAGGGATGATATCCTTGCAGCTGTCCCTAATTTGCTTCTAACATCTAACCTAATAGACCTACCAAGCTTCAAAATTCATAATGGTGTAAGCAACAAACTAGCTCAAATCCAAATAGAAAATGAACAGTGGAACATAATCTTCATATCCGAAGAAGTCATTACACATGACATCCATGTGCAGTATCGGCACAGGTAGACGCAGTAAAAAGAATAAAAAGAATAATAAAAGTAAACATAACACAGTTGATCTACCTGTTGAAAGCTCACTTTCACCGGTTTGAAGAATTTGATCAAAATTCTTCTTGTGTTTCTTTTTCTTCTTCAGGCTTCCAGCCTTGACGTCCAAGGCCTTTCCTTTCAGCTTCAGTTTACCACCAACAACGTTCTCATATGCAGACATTTTTCCTGCCAAGAACATAATGTAAAAAACATAGGGCTTTCCTAGAAAGCAATGTACAGGGAAAATTAAATATATGCATCAATGACAATACAAGGCTAATGAGGATCCATTGCTACAACTGTAAGCATGTAAGACCTTGTACGTTGATAAAGACTTGTTACTTGGAATAGGAACATACTCATTTTCACCAGAAAACAAAGATTTCAACTAAAACGCAGTGGCGGCTCAAATAGTGGATAATAGCCAAGGCAACCACAAAGAAGGCAATAACAAACACAGGCAACGCCAACGGAAACTCCATTTGATTGTAATTCCCATCAAATAAAGAATAAATACACCTTCAACAATCCAACATTGATACGCGCTCATGCAAACATACAAATGTTTATCGCAACACGAATTCAGGCCATAAAACAAGCGCACCATCCGATAGTGCAAGAAATACTAACAGAAATTTTATCGACGCGATCAAATAAAGAACAAAAAAGCGCGACTGCAGATAACAAAAATGCGAATGCACCCATGGAAGAATGATAAAAAGATAGAAACACACCTCCGGGAAGGACAGTGATTGTCGAACAATTAGAGCGTGGAATTCTTAACCGTAAAAAAACGCGAAAAACCGGAGAAAGACCGTAATCGTCGACAAAGAGAGAGCTGAAAAGAAGAGTTGGAACCCTAGGGCTAGTACAATAAGTGGGATAACAAGGCAATGACCAGTACGACTGGTAGTGAGATCGTGCAGTGGATCAAACCGCCGGCCGGCTCAATCCGATTAAAGGGGTTGCTACAACAAGCCAGACTCGCGATTTGGCTCCAACGAGCTTGCTCGATGGTGGGAGCGGAGGATGAGGTTCAAACGACAATTCGGCCACTCGGAGATTGAATTTATATACAAGTCGTTCTTTTATTTTTTTTTTTTTTTTTTTTTTTTTGTGGATAGTATGCCTTTCAAAATTTCTCATAATTGATGTAACAATTTTTTTTTTAAAAAAGGTCACTTTAAAATTTGTTGGTTATTAGTTATTTATTTGGTTAAATTAAAAGTGATAAAAAAAAGTTTTTTATTCCAATAAACCTATCTACTGTTTGAAGCAATGTTTTGAGTAGATAATCCTTACGTTTGGCAAAAAAAAAAAAAAAAAAAAGGAATATTGAAATTGAATTTGGATTTGGAATTCATGGATTTTCAATTCCTGTTTTAGTATTTAGTAAAAAAATAAAATTGGATATTTGCAAATCTCATTTAGTATTTAGAAAAAAATGATATTAAAAATTAAAAATAATTTTTTTTACTATCACATCCTCCTTTTCTTGTATACCAAATTCGAATCGTATTTTATAATATATAAATTGATAATACTACTTTAAAAAAAAAAAGTTTCTTTTATTTAGAAATAAGAATAATAGAATTTATATAATTAAATAACTTCAAAAAATGTGTTAAAAATGTCCAAACATAACCAAATAATTATTTAGAAGTAACCATAAAAAAAATAAAACAAAAACTCTTTTAATAATATATATTCATATCAACAAAAAAAAAATATATCGATTCCTACGAATATTGTTTTATTTTCCAAGACAACCATTCAGCACACTCTTCACTCCGTATTTTAAAAACGTTCAACTGCTGCTGGATTGTGAGCAAGAAAAATCATGTTGCTCCATATGATAAATTTTTTTCTATTTCATCTTTTTTTTTTTCAGTTCTGCGAAGACGTCTTGGTGTGGTGCTTATCTAATTTACTAAAAAATTTGTGCACTTGCAATTATCGTAATGCTTTAGACAATACATCATTTCCCTTAATGTTTTGTTCTTGATTCAAAATATATTATCTCACTTTTTTCTAGAGGTAGAAAAATATATATTTTAAAAAGTAAGATTAAATATATATATATATATATTTAATCTCTCAAACAACTTCTCCAACACTTCTCTTTAGAAATATTCACAAGCATGTCATGTATGTACTTTTGCAATAACATATTTGTAAATTAAAAAAATGGGGCATTATAGTGGGTTTAGATAGTCGGTCAGTACAAAACATGATACATGAATGAATGAAAAAAAAAAAAAAAAAAAAAGGGGAGTGAGAAAAACCTTGTCACCGATTGACATTGACAAGTTGGTAGCAGATATGGTTGAGCAGCTAACTAGAAAATAGAGCAATAAGCCTTCACCTTTTGCAGCGTTGGTCAGTGGAAACAGAGTAAACCGTAAATAGAAAAGTTAAATGCAACCTGGGTGATGGTTGAACAAAGCAACAAGCCTTTGCCCCTGGCAGTGGTGGTCCAAAAAATACTGTGAAAAGCACAGGCACAAAAACAGAGAGTAAAGTGCGGCGACGTGATAGTTGAACTGTTGACCAGAAAATAGAGTAAGAAGTTTTCATCTCTTGTAACGGTGGATGGTTAAAAATAAAGTAAAAAGCGTGGCATAGAAACAAGGAGGGGAGTGCAGCTATCAGTCAACACTGCTACTTCGAATTGAAAACCAGAATGAGAGGGGTCAGCTGGCATCAATTGGTTGTGATAAGCATTGCAACAGCGATGATTGAGCAGAAAATAGAGCAAGAAACCTCCGCGCCTCTTGTAGTGCTGGTCCACAAAAACACAGCGAAAAGCATAGGCGCATTTAAAAAAAAAAGGAATAAAAACAAAAAAATTTAGAGAGAGATAAAATATTTGAAGATGAAAATTATGACAAATTATTGAAAATCAATTTTAGAGGAATTGCTAAAAAAAATAAAGAGAAAAGTTAGACAATTTTAAAGAAATAAATTTAAATAATTTAGAGAAAAAGTTTTAAATTTTTAGGAAGATAAAGTTTAAATGAATTAACTTAACAGGTTTAAATTTGAAATTATCAGCCTTGCATGTGTCACGCCCCGAACCCCGGGCCCGTGACCGGCACTGGGATCTACCAACCCCAGTAAGTCTCAACAAAACTAGTCAAACTCCAAATATATAAAACATACACAAAGTGTAATAATATAACATCCAAAAACTACCCAGGATCCTGTCTGAGAGTACAAGGAAGCTACTCTACAATACAATCAGGTAAAGTACAAAAGAGAAATGCCCGTACATCCATCGAGTCCGCTGTCGTCAACTCCCACGCTGGCACGCTAACCGAGGCGAGTACAGTCAAAAGAATCTGGAATGTTTAAAACTATGAGTCGCGAAACTCAGTGAGTACGGATGATACCTAATCTATGCATGTCAAGATACATATCATAGCACAAGTCTAAAACCTTAAGCATACAGCGATCAGTAAAACATATCAACATACACTCAAGAATGCTATCAGCCAACATCAAATCACATCATGGACTCAGGCCTACCCCACACTAGACGCTACGGTCACCGCACTCCAGCCGAGTCTCTGCCGTCCCCTCACGGACTCAGACCGACTCCCCTACTGGACGCTACGGATCACCGCACTCTAGCCAAGTTCCTGCCGTCCACAAATCCCATCACAGCACACCATCCTCACATCCAAGTCAAACAGATATACAACCCATATACAGTCCATGTCTCAAAACCAAAATCACATACCGACACGACTCCCCAACAGTTCACAAAACACATAGCACATAACCCGAGTAACATATAATTAAAACACAATTTTCAACCCACAAAATCATCATATCAGAAATCACAGTATGAAAACACAAGCATAGAGAAGATATCATCACTCACAGTACAGACGCTAAGCCAAAACGAGAGTCCCGAGTCACCTAGCCCGACTTAGTAGTCCGGGTGTGCCCTTGCCTGCGAATCTGCAATCAAAATCACACAAAACCATCACCAACGTCGAAACCGGCACGAGAAACAGGCTCGGTAGCCCCAAACTAGACTCAAATCCCAAACTGGCCCCTTGGCACGCATCTCGAGGCAACCTGACCTATCACAGAACCTACGCGACTCAGTACAACTGAACAAATCTACTTAACCGCCATCAACACTACGGAACCAACCCCACAATCCTCGAACCACAACGAACCGCCTTCCAAAACCCTTGAACCGGCTTAGCCCGGTCTAGAACTACCTCCAACTCAACTCAAATGGCCACGAAACCCTCAAAATCGGATTCAGAAGGCCCAAAAACCCTAGGAACCACTATGAACCGGCCAAAAATGGCTCAAACCAGCTCCGAACCGGTCAAAAAACCCTAATCCTAAGCATCGGCACGCAAACCGAGACCGGTTCACCTCGAACCGGGCGCCCAAAATTTCCCGAACCCACTTGGTCTGATAGCCCTCATCCCCCTGAACTCAGAACCGGTCCAACCTCTCAAAACCAAGCCAAAATGGCCACTGAACCGGTCGGTCAAAGTCCCGGCCGGTTCGGTCAAACCCCCTTTCCCTTTTTTTTTTTTTTTTTTTTTTTTTTTTTTAAGCCGCGGCTTGGCTTGAGCCGCCAGCCCAACGGCTCGGCTCGGCTCGGCTCAGCCGCGGCTCGGACCCGCCTGGGCCAGCCCACTCAACTGGGCCGGCCCGAGCCCAACACCTCTCCTTCTTTTTTTTTTTTTTTATGTGGGCTGGCCCGCAGGCCAAGCCCACTCGGGACTGGGCCCAAACTGGCCCAGTCCAACCCAAACCTACTGGCCCGAGTCGGACCCAACCGGCCCCAACCCGCCTGAACCCGGATTCTCATCCGGGTTCATCCCTATCGCCCGGAACAAGAACCCGAATCCCGTCCGGGTCTGCAACAGACCCGGAAGCTCCAAACCGAATAAAAAAACAACAAAATCTCACTTACCTCGATCCACCTAGACCGGAAAAGCTGCCGACGAAGCCGACGAGCAAGCTGGGTTGTTTTAATCGGGACAAAATCGATCTAACAAGCTTGAAACCAGATTTTGAGCTCCGGCGGTCCACGGTCCCCCGACGAACAGAAAACCCCAAATCCTCCCCAACCTTTGCTCGTTTCTCAAAATCAACAAATGGGTTTAGTAAAGTCTACAAAAACACTCGAAATGGCGTGAGAAATTGGACGAAGTCATCACACGGCGTGGGTGATTCGACAAGGAACAGTTCGGTCCATTGTTCATGGCAGGTTTCAGTCTAATTGCAGTTTGGCCCTTCGAAGTTTTGATTTTTCTCGAATTGGTCCTGGCCAAAATTTCAATCCGGCCCCTACTAAAAACAATTATTGCAATAAGGTCCTCAGCCTTAATAAAAATGAAAATCCGGGTTATTACAGCATGAATGCTGTCCTACAAAAATTTTCATGCATTTCCCAATCAGGTTAACATAGTATACATGACTGGTCCAACTACTAAAAATGGAGTTGAAATAAATATTCAAATTAAAAAAAAAATACTTAAAAACTGAAACATTTTTAACCAAGCTATTCTTCCAAAAATAGATTTGTTTAATACACGCATGCTTTGTGCATAATCAACAAGAATTAAATTATGGACTTGTTTTGAAAACCTAATTACAATTTCCAAAGTTAACAGGTCAAACACATGAAATAGAAGAGGGTGGGGGAAATTCCAAAAACCATAAAGAGTGCAAGGGGATATAATACAAATAGAAAAAAATACGGAACCACTCACAAATTGTGTTGCCAACGGGGCGTCCGCGGACGGCCCAAATACCTTTGCTGTCCACAAATCGGTCGACCTCAAAAGGATCGGCACGCCGTTTCGCTCAGGAGAACGCGAAAGAAAGGGTTAGGGTTTCACATCCGTTTCTCTTTGTCAACATGGCGATGAGGAACTTCTACAACGAGATCAGAGGGTTGAAGGTCAAGGACGTGCCAGCTCACCTGAAGCCTATGTTCACAATGAACTACGTGAAGAGTGCGATCAAGAGGGGATTGGACAATTATCATGCCAAGTATATCCAGACCAGTTCTATCGATCCTCTTTATCACGTCTGCTTTGGTGGAATGATTTTCTCTTACCTCGTTGCTCTCCCCGAGGAGCGTCGCCACCTCGAGCACCAGCAGCACGCCAAGGAACATGGCGGTCACTGATAGGTGAACTCCGATCTTTTATTCCCATCCCTTATTTTACCCTTTTTTCTCAATAACATTGGTTGCTCGTATTGATTTTTGGATATCTGCGGCCTGGCATTGGTAAAAAACCGTCCAAATAGATTTTGGGTCAAATATGGGAATGAAAATAATGCATTTAATTCATTGTTTTGTACATGAAAAACAACATTCTAACATTTTTCAGAAACGAAGCCTGACATGATTGTTCCGCAGAATGCCACCCTAGCATGCTCTATTCAGTTTCAAGGATTCGGGCCTTTTGCTTTGTCATTTCTCTAGAGTATTCAACTAGCATAATTGAATTGGTAATTAAATTGTTGGGGGATTCTATCTCTTTATCATCTAACTTCCTAAACGAAGATAAAGTCGGTTGTTCGTGTTTCTAGAATGTGTGCTCATGCTTATCTTGGTGACTTTTCATTTCATTTGCAACCAAATAACAACCAAATAAATTTGGAAGCAGCTGTTGTTTCCTTTCTAGTCGATCTGATATTATAATTTTTGAAATTACTAGGCGTGTTGTAGTAACAATTTTGCGTGTGAAGAAGAAAGCTGATACCTGATAGGTGCATTGTATTTATTACGTTTACCTCTGTGACTTCTATTGCTTGTGCTGAAATATAGTCTTAGAACAGAGAATTTTACAGGAAAAATTAACTTTTGAGCATTTGGAAAAAATTGAGTGTTTTTTCCCTTCTGTTTGTTTTGATTAGAATTGAAGCTCAAGAAAGTAGGGTAATTTGTCAAGACCTTACTTTGGGATAAATTGTAAATGTGGACTGAGAGAAAGACAGGAGTTATGGATATTGATGATGGTCAATTGAGAATGGTGGAAACTGGTCCATTTATGAAATGCATGGCAGACAGATTTTAAACAGGGTTGTGTAAACAAAAAAAGCTGACATCCACTTCAGGTTGATTGCATCAAGGAACTCGGAGACTCAATCTCCATTAGTGCTTTGAGGTTGATCATCTATGCATGGTTGTGTAGGATAGACAGAAATTTGTTGCCTAAGGTTATCAACTTATCATATTTGAAGCATTAAGAGTCTATGCCTTCTAGCCTCTTGGAGCTATCATTTTGTGAAATTATTTTTGATGCTTTTTGGAACCTGGCAAAATTTTTCCAACATATAGCTGACCATTATCAGTTTGAAAGCTTATCGAATTGCAAGATCAAATAACTAAACTATCAGGTGTTTTTTCCTTATTGAATAAAAGAGATTTTGTTTAGGGGTGGTGATTAAGTGGCTATTGAGAATCTGGTATTTGTGGTATAATACTTTTGAGAGTTACTAGTAAGTTGCTTGGGCTAGTGGTTACTCAGGTCAGGATGTTACACTCCTCACTCCCCCTCAAAAAAATAATAAAATGAGATTGAAAAAGGAGTACTGTCTTAAGCATTTTACAGTTGGTTAATTATTTTATAAGTTGTTGTTGGATAGTTTTCATGTGGTAGTCTTACAAGGCTCTATTTTTCCTGCCTACAAGCGTAGTTTATGGAAGAGAGTATAGAGTTGCCAAGGAGGGGAGTATAATTTTATATCATATCTTCCCTCATAAAGTGAAGGCAACAAGGGATAAAGGTATTGGCCCTACTTTAATTTAAGCTGTTTTGAGTCCCACATTGAGGATATACTTCTGCATTCAGGGTTTATGATGGACAGCACTCCCAGATGGACTTGTAGATAACTCTGACCTGGTTCTTGCCTCCTTTAAACCAACCTCCACTTTAAACTTGATATGGGTTATGACCTTCTTCCAAATGGTCTCCGTCCACTAGGATATATCTTGAATCCATCCCATTATGGGCAGCTTGGGCCAAGGACCTGAATATTTGGGCTAGATTGCCTTCTCTAATCGCATGTTTGTTGTTGTCCATTGGATGGTTAGAATTACATTTTCATCTCCTTTCTGGGCAATTCAGACTCCATCCCATTGTACTTTACCTTAAGTCTGACTTTAATATTGTACTGTTAAACTGTCAACAATTATATTTTTGATAGCTATGCTCTCTTAGATATGTGGTTATGTATTTTTCGTTCTTGACATGTGTCTTTTAGTGGCAAACTAAAGGTTAAAAATTGTAGCATTATATTAAGTATAGAACCCAGAAATATAATTGGGTGACTCCAGAGAATGGGGAATAATGTGAAGTTCAGGGCAAAATGCCAGAGAGCAAAGTGGGATGGCCTTCCTTGTATGCTATGGCTGCATAAAGGAGCAAGCATCGGAGGTTCACTTATCAGATTGCCTAACATCTAGGGATAATGTTTTATGTGAGACCTTGAATCAATCTGATTTTAGAGGAGGTCCTTGTACTTTGCTTATGCAGTGATTGAATTGAAATATATAACAATTTGGTGTGTGTGGGTGTTTTTTTTTTTTTTTTTTTTTTGGTTGGGGGGGGGGGGGGGAGGAAACCCAGTCTCTTTGAAAGTTTTGTTGTGTTATTTACTCTGTTATTCTACTGCTAGTGAATTTCCATTCTATTTGTGTTAGTAAGATCATTAAGATAATCATGATACTTGTTCTTGAGGTTTTTTTTTGCATCTTGAGGAAACAAAAGAGGGTTCACTTCGAATGGTATGCATGATGTAGCTTGAAGAAGAATAAATGATGAAAGACCAGAGAAACAAAGAGAAGAAAGGAGGGAAGAAAATGAATAATCTGAAAGAACTTAATTGCACCAAGTATTACTGACTATTACTAACCTTCCATATGGTAAGATAATGCGAACAAGGAAATAAATGATTAGAAGTTTTAAAATCATAGTTCCTTAGAAAAAATTTGGAAGGAAAGGAAGCTGAAGGGAAGTAAAAGAATTATGTAGAAGACTAGGGAGAGTATTGACCAATATTACCAATATTAACCAAGCAGAAATTCTATGGTTAATTACAACAGGCTAAGGAAACTCTAACAGGCGATGAAAGGAAACCATATTGTGAGCATAGTTGTCAAGAGCGCGAAGTGCAAAGGCCTTCTGGAGCTATAGCGCATAGCGTGCGCTTTATTGAAGCGCACATAAAGCGCATACATTTATATATTTCTAATATAAACCAAAAATACTAATACAACTAAATATTCAAGCAAATGAAGACTTAAGACTTCAATAACAAGTATATATAACAAGCCAACATATAAATATATATATATATATACATATATCAACCAACCAACCAAATACTTAAATAACAAGTCTAAACATCTAAATACACAATCCTTGCGAAAAAAGTCTAAATATTTAAGCACTTAATCTTTGCCAAAAAAGTCATAAAATCTAACAAGTCTAAAAATATTCCTCAACTCTATTCCTCATCAATAAAATCTTCATCATCAAGGTTAATGTCATCATCCTTGTCATCACTAGGAGACTTGTAGCATTCATCATCCTTTTCCTCTTCCTCTTCGGTATCACTTAGGTTGGTGTCAAATTCCTCCTCTTCATAAGCTCTTGGAATTGTTGGTGTCAATGAACTATATGTTCTCTTTGTTGGTCTTGCCATGGAAGTTGATGGTCTACCTCTTTTTCTCCTTGATGAAGTTGAAGTAGAACAATGAGAGCTTCGAGATTTTAGAGGATAGGGATCTTTATCAACTCCCACAGACTCTGCAACATTAGCCCATGTCAAATTGTCATCATCGTCAAATACAAGTTCATCCTCAACTGCTTCTTCTATCTTTCCCACCAACCACTCATTGCTCTCATCCAAAGAATGATTATCCAACAAAATAGGATCAATACGATCCCGATTGTCATATTTTCACAACAAAGATCGGTTGTACTTAATAAAAACCAAATCATTCAAACGCTTTTGCTCCAACCTATTTCTTTTCTTGGAATGAAGCTGCAAAATAAATAATAATGAAGTTAATATAATTTCTAACTAAGAAGTTGAATTGGAGATAAGTGCATAATTTATATAATTAGTTACTTACATGTTCAAGCACACTCCAATTTCTCTCACAACCAGAAGAGCTACAAGTAAGGTTAAGAACTTTTATGGCAAACTTTTGTAAATTTGGATTTGAAGCTCCAAATAAAGACCACCATTTAACTGGTGTTAGTAGTGTTCTTTGCCTTTTTGCTATGTTGGATTTGAAATTCCCATCAGCTCTCTTGTAAATGCTCATTTCCTTGCTAATTACATCTTGTGCCTCAATTTGTGGCATAAATCTTTCAATACAATCCCACAAACCAGCCATGACTTCTTCATCATTTTCAATTTCTGGATTTTCATAGAAAAAACTGGGGATTCAAATAATGACCAGCTGCATGCAAAGGTTGATGAAGTTGACAATTCCACCTTGCATCAATGATATCAAAGATTTCTTTATACTTGGCCTCGTTCTTCTCAAGTACAAGTGCAATTTTCTCTTTGGTCTTATCCATTGTCTCATAAATATACCCCATTGGAGGTCTTTTCTCCCCATCTACCAAACGAAGCACCTCAATCAAGGGCCCACCAAACTTCATACAATAGACAATAGTATTCCAAAAAGAAGGCATGAGTATAATTTGTTGTGCTTGTTTTCCCCTTGCTCCTTTGCAAACTTGCTTTTGCACCACTCTTCAAAAATGAACATTTTTCTAAAATTTACCTCATGCTTATGAAAGCACCTCAATGTCAAAAAAGCAGTAGTAAAGCGAGTTTTAGCTGGTCTAATCAAATCTCTTTGTCCTGTGAATTCCCTCATCATGTTCAACACTGGAGTTCTATTGTAAATATATCCATTAATGGTAACGGCCCTTTCAAATGTCCTTTTCAAATCAGGCATTTTACAAATATCTTCAAACATTAAGTCCAAACAATGTGCAGCACATGGAAACCAATTCAAGTGTTTGTATTTATCCATCAATATCCTTCCAGCTGCAACATTAGCACTTGCACTGTCAGTACTAACTTGAAGAACATTTTTCTCTCCAATACGTTGCACAAAACTGTCAAGCAATTCAAACATTTTCTCAGCCGTGTGATAATAGCTAGATGCATTAACGGGCTCTAGGAACATGCTTCCTCTTCATGTGTTGACTAGAAAATTGATTAAAGTCCTTCCCTTTCTGCCCCTCCAACCATCTGCCATCAAACTACAACCATTTAATGCCATCTCTTTCTCGTGCCCTTTTAAAAGTTGCTTTGTATGTTCCACCTCCTTTTTTAAATAAGTTACCCCCTTTCATGATAGCTTGGAGCTTTCATCCCAACACCATATTGACCAATTGCTTCAATCATAGGGCCAACACTATCATATTTAACGACATTAAATGATATCCCCAC